AATTATTAAAAATTTAAAATTGATAATTTAATCTATTCATAACTTATCTTTTCAGGGAAAAAAAATTATCCATTACCTCATTGTTTTTTTAAACAATTAAATGTTTAAACCGCTGTAACTCCGTTAAAAATTATCCAAATGCGTTATTTTTTGCATCAAAATTTGCAGCAGCCTAAACGGAACAAATTCGCATTTTACATTTTTTTTGTATCTATTAACTGTAATGAAATAATTGTTTTAATTGCCGATTTTGACTGGACTATTTGCTGAGGTTGCACAGACTTTAGAGTGAGATTTCATCGGTGTTGTCACCAAAGTTTACCGGGTCAAGCCCGAATTTCAAGCATATTACTCAGAAAACACCGATCATCAAAGGAAAACCTTTCAAAGATGGATATCATTGTTGTAATATTATTTTATAATAACTATACATTCTAGTCATGAGAGATACGCTTCTTTTGGATATTTAGGCTGCATCAATAAATGTTTATAATTCTTTGTGCAATAAATTATTTGTTTTTTCTTTATAGCAGATATTATTTATTTAACAATGTACTTATTATAAATAATCAAAACCGAAATACGTCATATTTATATCCATAGTAACTTTTGTAATAAATTCTTTTCAATTACGTTTATATAGGGTGACCAAAAATTGCTCGTATTCCTCTTGGGAGAAGAAACTATCACTAATTTAATTTCTACCAGAGAAAATCTACTGTAGTTTTTAAAATGTAACACACAACATGAAATCTAACAGTAAATTTCGTAAATTTTAACTGTAGGAAGGTTGATCAATTAGTAAGCTATCAGATCATGGGAATTTTTTTTTTAATTTTTAACTCTCCAAATTCGGATTTTTGAAACCAAAGTAGATTTTCTCGAAAATGGCTGATATCCCCAAATGATAGAGGTTAAATCATTCCAAATTAGTAATAGTTTCTTATCCCGAGAGGAATACAAGCAATTTACAGTCACCTTGTATATTTATGAGTAAAAAATACGTGTAGTGAGTGTTGTAAGTTACTAATAAATATTTTTTGTAATATTATTTAACATAAATAAAGAACTGTACATAAGAAACAAGATAGTGTGGTTAGTAGTTTCTTCAATACATGAATACCATCTACTTTCCTGTGTTGAAATAATTCTCTAATTTTATCTATATTAGTATGTCACAACGAAAATAAATAATCTGGATGTTATTTACATTATCTATTGCTAATGTTTAATAGCTACCTAATTTAGACAAAGTAATTATTGAGGCAGAATTAATGAAATAATCTAACCACCTATTTTACAAGCTTTAGATAAAGTAATAAAATACATTATAAATTTTAATTTATCTTATAGAATATAGTCGAAAGTCGAATGTAATTAATAAATGAGGACATTACTACGAAAAACCAGTAGCACTTGCGTACATGCATGCACCGTATACCAAATTAATAGTCTCGGCGTTCAACGATAATTAAAAAAGAGTGCGCGACAACTGACCGCCATGGGCGTAACGAGAGATTTTTCCTATGGGGGCAGATTTTCAATAGCTATTTTTAACTTGCTGACCGTACGGGTCAAGCGTAAATAACTAAAACCGTGTCATAAGAATATATACATCATGTTTGTATTTTCGTGAAACTTTTTAGCAAAAACAGTTTTTGCAGACGACTTCTCATGGCTATCGTTATACATATAGTATATGTATATAGCATTATCCATATGAATAAAAGTACAAGGATGTTTCGAAAAAATAACCGAGTAAGACTTTCCAGTAAATTGTTAAATTACTAAAGTATTCAAGGATGAAAGGATTTTTAAAAACTAAATGATAAATAACACATGCAGCAGAAAAGCAAAATTCTATTTCGAAAAGTACAACACACATTTGCGTTACTTATAACTACAAAACTAATTCTAATTTATACTGTTTATGTACGTAATACAATATAATAATCATAAGTAGGGTCCGTAGCATTCATTGTCATGTATTTTTCCATCCAAAAAATATGAATAGGGTGTGCAATATCAAGGCAAAAACCATCGCTTAAAATAATGTCCGTTGAATTTGAAAGCATAAAATAATTAACTATATTGAACTTTGTACATATTATTAGGAATTATTTTTTCGAAATACTGCCGCTGGTGAAATTACTTTTTAAAATAGAGATATTAATTAAAAACAACAACGGAAGTGTCTAATATGTACTTTTAAACTTATATAGTTAATTA